CATTATTATAACCCACACGATGTGTGAGTTGTTACAATGGTCAAGTGAAAAAATAAGGAATCAGCTAGTTTTTATGTAGTCCTAAAACTGCAGTGAACATAAGAACATAAACATAAGAACATAAGAGAGGCCAATGTTGGATCAGGCCAATGGCCTATCCAGTCCAACACTCTGGGTCACAAAGTGGCCAAAAAATACCAAGTGCCATCAGGAGGTCCACCAGTGAGGCCAGGACACTAGAAGCCCTCCCACTGTTGACCCCCCCCCCCCAGGCACCAAGAATACAGAGCATCACATGCCCCAGTGATCTCCGTGCTTTCTGTCTTCTGGCTTCAAACTGTGTCTTTGGGATGTGTGTTGAATCCAGGTTTCCCTGTATATCCCTGGAGCCCAAATTTGCTGTGAACACCTGTCGAGCTGAGAAATGACAGACCAAACCCCAAACGAACCTGGCAGGAGCAGTCACGTGGGCGTTAGGAATTGTTCCTAAATGCTAGGAAACCCTTCAGTTGCCATTCTCACCCTTCCAAGTAGAAATGTTTCTGCTTCTTTATAATGGCCAAACATCGGAACCCCTTTACCCGTTCCATTGTCTCAGATGAGCAGGGGTCATTTCGTAGAAAAAGAGGTGTAGGAGCTTATTAGCATAACCCATTAGCATAACTTATCTGCATGTGCCACACCCCCTGACATCACCGGAAGTGTGTCAGAAGGCAACACCCACCGCTCAGGCTCCACTGGACTGTTTTGGATTGCTAGCTATTGGGGGGGGGGGGCGTGCAGATCTGTCCTCACAGAGAAGGGAGAGCTTGTACCTGAATAAAACCTGGTCTTAAAGGTGCCACTGCACTGTTTTGGACCGGGGGGCCGGGGGGGGGGGCTCTGCAGCTTACCTGGCTGCTTCTTGCTCTGACTGAGGGCTGCTGGGAGCAGGGGGTGGGGCTTGTTGCATGTGCCCTCCCCCTGGACTCTTTACTGCCGGAGCTGCGCTCCTGCAGGAAATGACCCCTGCAGATGAGAAATATTTGGTTTACCGTCATTCTCTGGAGTCAGCTCGTCCTGGCAGCCATTGCTGATGACCACTCTCACTTTTAGGATAAAGTGGTTCTTTAAAGGCCTGGATCTTCCTGCGCTGCACCCACCAATCCCAGATCTTCCACCCAGACTTCAGCGGCATTGTCACTTGGTTCTTTCGCAAGAATGGAAATGCCCCTTTGAACCTTTGGCATCACGTGACGTCCATCTTCCGGCAGTGGAAATAGCATTTCTGGTAGCCATAAATTCAGCAGGGTGTGCCAGCGAACTCTCCGCACCGCACTTGGCCCACCCTATAGCCCCACTATAGAGAAAAGGTAGCACTCCGCTCAGATGTCTTTCTCACCTCTGATGGTTTCCATGTTTTAGCTGAACCAGGAACTTAATCTGCCAGTGTGCTTCCCAAATCTGTTGACGAGTAGAAAGAGATCTGTACTCCTTAGTTGTCCAGAGCCAGTTTGGTGCAGTGGTTAGGAGTGCGGACTCTAATCTGGGAGAAATGGGTTTGATTCCCCCACTGCTCCACATGCAGCTGCTGGTATGACCTTGGGTCAGTCACAGTTCTTTCAGAACTGTTCTGGAAAGAGCAGTTCTCGAGAGAGCTCTCTCAGCCCCAGCTATCTCACAGGGTGTCTGTTGTGGGGAGGGGAAGGGAAAGGAAAGGAGTTTGTAAGCCGCTCTGAGACACCTTTGGGTAGTGAAGGGCAGGGTATAAATCCAATCTCTTCTTCTCTCAGCCCCAACTACCTCACAGGGTACCAGTTGTCAAGAGAGGAAGGGAAGGAAATTGTAAGCTGCTCTGAGACTCGGGGTATAAATCCAATCTCTTCTTCTATTCCTCTTCTGTATTGGCAGGATGGCATCCTACAGGAAGGATTCCAGCGTATTTGTCTATAATAATGATATATGGAAGCGCCAGTGTGTTTCCTCCCAGAATCTGTGCGGCTGGATCACATCAAGGAGTGAACTGTGCTGCAAACTAGCACATCACTGCCTTTGGACAGTGGTTAGAGCCAGTGTTCCCTCTAAGCTGAGTTAGTGTGAGCTAGCTCACAGGTTTTTAGCCCCCGGCTCACACATTTTTGTCTCAGCTCAGGAAGGGATGGCTCCAGAGCAAACTAATGTATGCAGGAGCCAAATCGCTCGCTCACAACTTTAATGCCAGAAGCTCACAGAGTAGGATTTTTGCTCACAAGACACCACAGCTTAGAGGGAACATTGGTTAGAGCACACTTGACTAGAACCGTTACTGTTTCCACAACCTTTTTCATAGCTTTTACGCCCACCCCCAGGGCCCTGCAGAGCAGATACCTAAGATCTGGACAGGAGAGCCAGAAGCAATACAGAGCCTTTGGTGGCAAGGCCTGGATATGCCCTCTTTTCCCGACTGCACCTCTTCTCTCTGCCAGCTAGACGGGTTTGTTAATCAGCTGTGCCGGTACAGAGGCCTTGAAGAAGAACAAGTTGGCTCCTTGTAACTGATGGCTGTTCAGTAGTCTTCCGTGCAGTCATTCAGCTCACTTTCCTTCCCTGCAACAGCTGGTTCTGAACACCTATGGCGTCACTCCGGGAAAGAACTGCGCAAGAAAGCGCAGCTGCACCCTTAAGTGTATGCATCGGTAGTCTTCTCCTCGAGCTAGGTGGGGGTAGTGCCAACAAGCACCCTGTTCTTCCCAGCTGAAGGTTTTGGCAAAATTAAATCACATGCTTTGAGCAGTCGTCTGTGCAGTCCCCATCTACAGATGCTGCACCTGGAACCTTCTAGAATTGAACCTATAGGCAGTGACACACTAGCCCTAAAAACCACGTTCAGTTGTCATTTTTCCCAGCCTCACCAATTCTGGTTTAGTTCATACCATAAAGTGGCAAAAATACACTTCAGAGACTGGATATTAGGAGAATGTCACTGCCTGGAGATAGATCTTACATTCCTTGTACGTTTGGCCCCAGAATGCTGATAGGCGCTGGTCCTGTTCCCTCTAAGCTGAGTTAGTGTGAGCTAGCTCACAGGTTTTTAGCCTCCGGCTCATACATTTTTGTCCTTAGCTCAAAAAGGGATGGCTCCAGAGCGAATCAATTTATACAGTAGCCAAGTAGCCCACTCAGCACTTTCATGCCAGTAGCTCACAAAGTAGAATTTTTGCTCACAGGACTCCACAACTTGGAGGGAGCACTGGTGCCGGAAGTTCTCAGGTCTCATCAGATATATACAGAAGGGAAATGTGCTTCCCTCCGCCCGACGGCCCCTCATTCTGCAGAGACCTTATGCTGCAACTTAATCCAGGTAACAGATTCTCTTGGTATTCCAAGTTTCTCTGGGGCAATGAAGTAGGTTCTGGCCAGCATCCAAGCCCCCCCCCCCCGTGTGCAAGCAGCACGTGCTTTCCCTCACTGGGGAGGCCTGAGCCGGCCTTGCTGTTTGTCCGCTCTCCTCACACCAAGTGGCGTCCCATTCCGGAAAACTCCCCACTCTCCAGAAAGCAAATTCTCCAAGTGGGCCGTGGGGCCATCTTGCACGAAGGAGACAGCGGTGCAGAGTCCTTTGGAAACTTCCAGCTACAGGTACCAGAACCAGTGTTCCCTCTAAGCTGAGTTAGCGTGAGCTAGCTCACAGTTTTTTTTAGCCTCCGGCTCACACTTTTTTTGTCTTCAGTCAGGAAGGGATGGCTCCAGGGCAAACTGATTTATGCAGCAGCCAAATCACCAGCTCACAGCTTCCATGCCCGTAGCTCACAAAGCAGAGTTCCTGCTCAGAAGACTCCACAGCTAAGAGGAGTGAACTGCTTAGCTTCCAAGAACCGCCCAGGTGAGGGCTTTCCAGCGTTTTAGGAGCATCCTGAAGATTTTTGCTGCTACAGTCATTACATTAGAAGCAGTGTTCCCTCTAAGCTGAGTTAGTGTGAGCCAGCTCACAGTCTTTTAGCCCCCGGCTCACCCATTTTTGTCTCAGCTCAGGAAGGATGTGGCTCCAGAGCAAACTGATTTATGCAGGAGCCAAATCTCTCGCTCACAACATTAATGCCAGTAGCTCACAAAGTAGAATCTTTGGACACAAGACTCCACAGCTTAGAGGGAGCATTGATTAGAAGCTAAACACCTTCCTTTCTTTTCTTTTTTTTACTACAATTGTATTGACTCTGCTATTACAAGTGGATGCGATGGTTAAAACTCAGCAATAACGTGGATGCCATGGGATATTTTACCGTAAGCTTCACATGTTGCCGAAGCTATCCGAAGATGCCATGAAAGTTGCTTTTTATTGAACGAAATGGTTATTTAATAGTACGAGAATGCTTGCCCCCAAACGCGCCCTCCCTGCTTCTTTCATCTTTTCCACCCAGCTTTCGCTTCCTTTTCAAATCCCGTTTCCGTTTTAAAGTGATGCTTAAGCTCCTTTATACTTTTTATATTGTTACTTTTGTTTCACTGCAGCTTTTCCAACGTGCAGGTTTTCCGTTCACCGTATGTCATCGTCTC